CCAATTATTGTTGAATTCCTGAGCCACAAGGTTAAATCCAGTCTTTACAAGAAGGGTGCGGCGCTGAAGGATATAACTGTGTCTGATTTGTTTCCCACGTCAAATTATGCTACTTCACTAGGGCGAGGGAATCGTATCTTCTTAAAAGAAATCACCAGGCGAGGACGGTTTCACATGGGAGTTTTATAATTGTTTCTTTGATCTACTAGGACAGGACCTTAGTAAATTGTTTTAATGAGGCATGTGAGGAGAAATGTCAATTTCCCTGCTAAGAGGTATAATATCTCTCCTCCCAAAAGAATACTCAAACCTCCTAAAGCTTGCAAACTGGCGTCCGATTACGTTGCTAAATGTTGACTATAAACGGTAGATACATTTGGCAAAATATTAGATTGGTCAACTATGTAGCAGAACAAACAAAAATACAAAACATTCCAGGTATTCTTGTACAGCTTGATTTTTGTAAAGCTTTTGATACTATCGAATGGAGCTTCATTAAAGCCCGGTTTACACTACAGAAAATTTTAGGCAAGGCTCGGGTGAAATTTGCACGGGTGGCAAAAAAGAGCTAGGCAAACTTTGCTTACGCTACACCATTTTTATCGTACCAAAATACTGTGTCAAAATTTTTGGGCCCACGTAAGTTCTCTTGGAGACATGCGCCGTTCAATTAGAAGCCAAGATGGACGACGAAGCCTTTGTGCTTTATCTCTTAAGAAAGACGTTTCACAAACTTGTTCAAAGCTCAACTATGGACACCGAAGTTGACAAAAATTTGCGGGCAAGAATCCTCTACCTTAAAAAAGGAAAGAAAACAAGGAAACTTTTTATGTTTCTTGCGGCTATAATGTTGACAAATCCACCCATCGATAGGAGTGTTTGGTCGCTTCTTTGATAATTGTAAGTAATTCTTTTACGTCCCTTTCTTTCCGAGAACGTCCGCGTGATTTTGGTAGAGAAACGAGCAGCCATCTTGAAATATACGCAGGCAAATATGTAACAAATTTTAATTGACACCTGTATTTAAAAAGTAAAGATTATGGCAGTTATGCGCGCAACTTAGGGACGAACCATTAGAAAAGGAAAGGAAAGGGATGATAGGGGAGATGGGTGAGGTACTGCTTTTCAAGTAAATTCTTTTGGGAACGCCATGTGTGCATGTTTGGTTTTTTAGCTTGTAAGTATTTTTTTCTACCTGTTCCGGTTGTATTCGCCATTTGCCCATCTCACATGGAAGAACACCGGTATTGAAAAGTTCAAACATGAACAATTGTTCCACATGATGATCGTGATGCAATGAGAAAAAAAATACTACATCCGGAGTAACAATTATTAATTATCAGTTAATACTAAACAGCCACACATTAGCTTTTGTATGCAGAAAAAAAGATAAAACATTCACGCGCGCTGAATCCTGCCAGCCACACTAAGGGCGGTTCACACTTTGTTGATACGTGCAAGAAGGATAAGTGGACACAACAACACGTATACATGACAGAAAAATCGATAGAGAACAGGTTTGGCTTAACGAGATTAAAACGATAGGACCAAGTCTAAGCATAACAAAATCTCGTACCCAGATCTCTTCGTCTAAAAGAGGTCTGGATACGAGATTAAGCTTCACAAAATCGAGTGAGAGCCGGCTTGACATATGCACAAGCACAACTCTTAGCATAATGGTCAAGCAAGAACCACCGTAAGATAAATACTTATCGTACCGGCCGGATAAGTGAACCAGGCTTAACTATTCAGTTCCATTAACACTAACTAAGTTATCTAAAAGATTTGCATCCAGATTGTGTTTTGGTTTGTTAACTGTAGTCATGCATTCTTTGCTTCTCCTGTTTACTTTCTCCAAACTTCATAGAAAGTGCGGCTGATAAACATCCGTGTCAAGGACGAAAACAGACTATAGCAAAAGAGCAAAGAGAAAAGAAAAGAAAGGACAGCGTTGTGATTGGCTAATAAATACCGCGCTATATTTTTTTTGACCAATTAGAAGTAGAACCAAAGTGTGATTTTGGAAACATGACTTTTCACGCCTTCTTTGGCCGCTACACAATTGGCTAATTGGATTGGCTAGACCCATTCTGATTGGACAGCGTGACTACTCTGGTTTCGTAAGGTTGTGACACTCGAACAAAAAACACCTTTTTATCAAATGCTACCCAACAAACTACTTTAATAGAGAGGTGAAGTCGTTACATCACGTTGCCATCGTAGCAAACTTTTCGGATGACAACAAACCGAAAGCGTCACTTAAAAAGTGAATTCGCACGGTTTCAAACTTCATCGATCTTATTCAATTTCATTTTTATTAGTCAAATAATGTTGGCGAAATTTGGGGGAGGGGTGGGGGTTGAATCTGAAAGGACCGTATCTAAGTTTAGAAAAAGAAAAAGAAAATTTTTGTGTTGTGTTCACCTACTCCATAAAGCGAGCGCGAAAATATTAGCAATTTTCATGTCACAGTCGCGCAGCGACGGCAAAGAAAATGTCG